CTCCCACTGACACCAATGATGCTTACATTGCTGACTCCTCCTCCAGGCCGGGCTCCCGCCCTCTCCCATCCACAGCCAGCATACCTGCAGCAGCACCGTCTGCTCTGCTCTCCCCAGATCCCGGCCGCACGGCACAGACACTTACCGATCAGCTGTCTTCCTTGTCTGGCCGCTCTCCTCCTCTTCACTGCTCCCTCACACCGATCAGATTCCTCGTGCTGCCCCTTGGCTCCTCCTCTCTGTGTGCCTACATATCCGGCTGCCAATCACCGGTGAGGAGGCGGAGCTTGCAGAGGGAGGGACAGGCTGCCATAGTCCACCCAGTGATCCCTGAGGGTGTGGCCAGATAAGAGAGGGGCGGTTTGGCATGTCACCCAGGAGAACATCGCGCCATATGTGATCCATCATCCACCCTTGCAAAGCGCCGCCCTAGGCAAACGCCTTGTTTGCCTCGCGGCAAATACGCCCCTGGCTGCCACAACAAAGCTGGGGGCGGAGCTGGGAAGTCGAAAGTGCAGGGTCTGGACGAGGACCAGAGGAGGCTAGAGTCAGCTGCTAGAGAACAAAGGAGGTGGAGACGAGGGGTGCTGCAGCTGCACAGAGAGGTGCAGGATCTGTAGAAGGAGTTCTATCCTCCTCTTTGCTGCTGACTGCTGAGACGGGGTGCAGAGAAGAGCCTCACAGAGAAACATGGGATCTGTGGGAGGAGTTCTGTCCTCCTCTCTGCTGCTGACTGCTGAGAGAGGGGGGGGGGGGGGGCGGGGGCAGAGAAGAGCCTCACAAAGAAACCATGGGATCTGTGGGAGGAGTTCTGTCCTGCAGTCTAACCCCTCGCCTACAGGGGCACTTCTACCCCCTCCCTGCCCAGGCCAATTCTCAGCTTTCAGCGCTTTCACACTTTGAATGACAATTGCGCGGTCATGCAACACTGTACCCATAGGTTATTTTAGCATTTTTTTCACACAAATAGAGCTTTCTTTTGGTGGTCTGTACTCCCCGCCGGGGGTTTTATTTTTTGCGATATAAACAAAAAAAAGCAAAAACATTTTAAAAATGTTTCTTTGTTTCTATTTTAAAATTTTGCTAACAGGTAATTTTTCTCCTTCACTGATGTGTGTTGATGAGGCTGCACTGATAGGCGGCACTGATGGGCACTGATAGGCGGCACTTATGAGGTGGCACTGATAGGCAGCACTGATGGGCACTGATAGCAGCACTGATGGGCACTGATAGGCGGCACTAATGAGGTGGCACTGATAGGCAGCACTGATGGGCACTGATAGCAGCACTGATGGGCACTGATAGGCAGCACTGAGGTGGGCACTGATAGGCGGCACTATGAGGTGGCACTGATAGGCGGCACTGATAGGCGGCACTGATGAGGGGCACTGATAGGCAGCACTGATGGGCACTGATAGGCAGCACTAATGAGGTGGCACTGATAGGCGGCACTAATGAGGTGGCACTGATAGGCGGCACTGATAGGTGGCACTGATGGGCACTGATAGGCGGCACTGATGGGCACTGATAGGCGGCACTAATGAGGTGGCACTGATAGGTGGCCATGGTGAGCTGGCACTGATGATGGGTACTGATAGTCGGCACTGATAGGTCGCACTGACTGCTGGCACTGACTGGCAACACTGCTGGGCTGCACTGATGGGCACAGGTGAGTGGCACTGCTGGGCATAGGTGGGTGGCACTGATGGGCACAGGTGATTGGCACTGCTGGGCACAGGTGGGTGGCACTACTAGGCACTGCTGGGCACAGGTGGGTGGCACTACTAGGCACTGCTGGGCACAGGTGGGTGGAACTGGTGGGTGGCACTGCTGGGCACTGATCATCAGGGCACTGATCATCAGTGCCCTGATGATCGGTGCCGATCCCTGCTCTGACAACTGACAGCGTGAGGAAAGTGCAGCCGAGGACCAGCAATACATTTCCCGGTGATCAGCGTGTCAATAGACACTGCTGATCACGTGGTAAAAGGCCGCTGTCATTGGCCTTTTATCACATCACGTGATCAGCTGTGTCCGTAGGACACAGCGATCACACAGATCACCGGGGGCGCGTTCTAGGAGGACGTCATATGACCCCCTCCCAGAACTGGCTGGCGGCAGTGCAGCCGTCATTCGGCTACCTGAGGTCAGCAACTGGTTAAAAGTGCTCCTTATGCTTGCAGGGGATTCTTTCACATTCCAAAGACAGGCAGCACAGTGGCTAATTGGTCAGCACTTCCACCTGGCAGTACTGGGGTCATTGGTGTGAATCCCAACCACGGCACCACCTGTCTGGAGTTTGCATGCTCTGACTGTGTGGGTTTTCTCTGGGTACTCCAGTTTCCTCCCACACTCCAAAGACATGCTGGGAGGTGAATTGGCTCCTGTCTACATTGTCCCTATTATGTGTATGAATGTGAGTTAGGGACCTTAGATTGTACGCTCCTTGGGGGCGGGGACTGATGTGAATGTACAATATATATGTAAAGCGCTGTGAAAATTTCCTGCACTATCTAAGTACCTGAACGACAAAATAAATAAATAATGTGATATCCTCTACCATTTACAATCGTGTGAAATCCCAATTCGTCCCGAAAAAAAAAATGCGGTCTAATCCCCCTGGATACACCCAGTAGCTATGATAGGTACAGATTTACTAACACGTCAAAGTCGCAAAACTGGGTTCCTGCAATGAGATGTTTTACCTTCGTCAGGAAGGGGCCCCATGATGCCACATTTTATATTGCTCCGTATTCTAGGTGCCATCATTGGCTCATTGTCCATGCTCAGGTGACTCCGGCAGGAAAGGTCCTACGAGATATAATGCGCATATTGTCGGGTAAAGTACTTCCGAGTGCCGCGATTTCTAGGTAATAGAGCTCTTATTTCATTATGTTTCAAAAATGGATAATAATCGCCCATTACTATAAACATCCGAATTATTCCCGACGTTCACTATTTATAGCAATGTCTGGACGTACCGGCGTGACAGGCTGCTGTGGGTCGGCGCGATCTTTCCAGCAGAAGTGTTCAGTAATTCGCATCCTACATACCCACATGGAAGAAAAATATCATTTAAATATATTTTAAAAATATTCTTCTTTGACATTTATTTGAAATGCTACAATTTTGTCCATATTCAATATATTTCAAAAGTACATATATATATACACTGTATGTTGAAATGCGTTTTTTATATATTACGAAGTAGATTAAAAATACTTCTAAAAATATGTATTTTTTAAATATGTCCTTCCAATTTTTTTCAACATGGAAAAATTTCATTTTTAACATATATTTTTTACATATATCTGTAAATGCATTCCATATATATATATATATACACACATACATACACATATATATATAAACACAAATATATATATACACACATACATACACACATATATATATATAATATACACACATACATACATACACACATATATATATATATACACACATACATACACACATATATATATATATACACACATACATACACACACATATATAATATATACACACATACATACACACATATATATATATATATATACACACACATACATACACACATATATAAATATACACACATATATATATACATACACACATATATATATATATATATATATATATACACACACATACATACACACATATATATATACATACACACACACACATATATATACACACATATATATATATATATATATACTGCATGTTGAAATGCTTTTTTTTATATATTACAAAGTATATAAAAATATTTTTAAAAATATATATATGTTTTAAATATATTCTTCAGACTTTTTTTAACATGTAAAATCGTCATTTTTAACATATATTTTTACATATATCTGTAAATGCATTCCAAAAATGTAGATTTGTATTTTTTGTAAAGACATACAGTATATTTGTAAATGTGCTTTTAAAAATATTTTTCAGATGTTTTGTAATATTTAAAAAACACATTTCAACATGCAGTATATATATAAATTTAGGACTTTTTTTTTTTTTTAACTGGATGTGTTTTATAGCAAACAGTCAGAAATTTTTTTTTTTCACAAAATTGACTTTTTTTTACATTTATAGCGCAAAAAATAAAAAAACATCAACCGCCAAAAAAAAGCTCTATTTATGGGGAAAAAAAGGACATAAATTTAATTTGGGTGCAGTGTTGCATGACCGTGCAATTGTCAGTTAAAGCAAACGCGGCGCCGTATCGCAAAAAGTGGCCCCGTCACGAAGGGGGGGAAATCCTCTGGAGAGTGAGGGGTTTAAAGAGGCCCCAATCTGGTGAAGACGCGCTACCAGCATCCCCCTGTGTGAGGACCCCACTACCAGCATCCCTCTGTGTGAGGACCCCACTACCAGCATCCCCCTGTGTGAGGACCCCACTACCAGCATCCCCCTGTGTGAGGACCCCACTACCAGCATCCCTCTATGTGAGGACCCCACCTTGGCCACTAAGAACACTAAGCCCCCATTGGCCCATGTTCACCATCTTCTGCACAGCACAGAAGGCCATCAATGCTCAGAGTTTATCTTCCATTACACAGGACATTAATGTCCAACTCCGAGGGCCCGGGGTCAGTAGGGGGCCCCATGAGATGCCCTGGTACCTTTCATAGGCTTTTTTGGGTGTGTTTTGAGTCTGGGCGAGAACACAGGGGCCCCATGATCCCCTATTGCCCGGGGGCCCCATGAGTTGTCAGTCCGTCCTTGCTCCGTACAATGTGATGGCACACTTACCCGATCCCACACCCCACCGCAGGCGGCGCCCCCCTCTGCTCCTGCACTGGATTGTCTCTGCATCTCGAAGACATCGGAGGACCAAAGAGCATCCAAGTGCAGTGTGGAGGAGCCTGCGGGAGCGGAGGATCAGGTGCCTAGAACTGCCGATTCTGTGAGCAGCCTGGATTTGTATTGCAGAAGAGACATCGGAGTCAAATCCCACAGAGTACCTCTGATCACATCGGAGTCAAATCCCACAGAGCAGGGGCAGACTGACCATTTGGAAACTCGGGCACTGCCCTAGGGCCCAGGGTCAGTAGGGGGCCCCATGAGATGCCCCTGGTACCTTTTTCATAGGCTTTTTTGAGTTTGGGCAAGGACACAGGGGCCCCATGATCCCCTATTGCTCGGGGGCCCCATGAGTTGTCAGTCCGCCCCTGCCACAGAGTACCTCTGATCACATCGGAGTCAAATCCCACAGAGCAGGGGCAGACTGACAACTCATGGGGCCCCCAGGCAATAGGGGATTATGGGGCCCTGTGTCCTTGCCCAAACTCAAAAAAGCCTATGAAAAAGGTACCAGGGGCATCTCATGGGGCCCCCTACTGACCCCGGGCCCTCGGGCAGTGCCCGAGTTTCCAAATGGTCAGTCCGCCCCTGCCCACAGAGTATCTATGATCACATCAGAGTCAAATCCCACACAGAGTTCCTCTGATCACATCGGAGTCAAATCCCACAGAGTGTGACGGGAGCGACTTTTGGGGGTGGGGGGACCCCTGTATCATCTCCCCAAATCATTATGTTTAACCCACCCTGTGCCTGTTTAAGGGTACAGGGGTGTACATGTGAATGTCCCAGTATTGTGCATTTGTGTGTTGTCCTTTGTCTAGACCACATGGCTGTCCATTGTTTGTTTGCCATGTGCTCCCCCCCATGGTGCTGTGCCTTCCTGTCCAGCAAACTATTATAGGATGTACTGTTTGTGTATTGGTGTGGGGGTTGGTCAATGTCCTTTGCCGCATGGCTGCATCCCATTGTTCTGTGTCTTGGTTGGAGGGGGAGGGGTGATGAGGTGTTTCCTGCCTATACTGTAGCCCTTCCCACTGATAGGGTGGGCTGATGATGTGTTTCCTGTCCCTGGTTGTCTTTCCCCGCCCTCTGTATAAAACATGTTTGTGTACAATAAAAGTAGTTGGCTTTCTGTATTAAGAAGAGCTGGGTGCTGTCTTTTTCCTGAGGGATTTCAAGGGTGTGGTCCGTGGATGGTGTTCGGACAGGGGAAGCTGCGGGATAACGGAATATACCCAAGTGCGGTCGGGTACCGGTTCCGTTACACAGAGTACCTCTGATCACATCGGAGTCAAATCCCACAGAGTACCTCTGATCACATCGGAGTCAAATCCCACAGAGTACCTCTGATCACATCGGAGTCAAATCCCACAGAGTACCTCTGATCACATCGGAGTCAAATCCCACAGAGTACCTCTGATCACATCGGAGTAGGACTCTGCTGATATCCAGAGATAAGGGATGAGGAGCCTAATAATAATGAGAACATCACAACGCTTCATTTCTTTTCATTTTTATGGAGCACACGGCAAATATTACTGCATTAGACGAGGGATGGAGCTCCGGGGTACAAATCGGAATGAGAACCCGCAGGGAGGTTTCTGTACAAATCTTTATAGCCGGTATTGGCTGTTATGAGAAAAGAGAACAATTACCACCATGAGCCCCGACTTCCCAGAGAACAATTACCACCATGAGCCCCGACTTCCCAGAGAACAATCACCACCATGAGCCCTGACTTCCTCCCAGAGAACAATTACCACCATGAGCCCCCCGACTTCCTCCCAGAGAACAATCACCACCATGAGCCCCGACTTCCTCCCAGAGAACAATTACTACCATGAGCCCGACTTCCTCCCAGAGAATAATTACCACCATGAGCCCCGACTTCCTCCCAGAGAACAATTACCACCATGAGCCCCGACTTCCTCCCAGAGAACAATTACCACCATGAGCCCCCGGCCTCCTCCCAGAGAACAATCACCACCATGAGCCCCGACTTCCTCCCAGAGAACAATCACCACCATGAGCCCCCCCGACTTCCTCCCAGAGAACAATTACCACCATGAGCCCTGACTACCTCCTAGAAAACACATTTACACCATGAGCCCCGGCCTCCTCCCAGAGAACAATCACCACCATGAGCCACGACTTCCTCCCAGAGAACAATCACCACCATGAGCCCCGACTTCCTCCCAGAGAACAATTACCACCATGAGCCCCGCTTCCTCTTAGAGAACAATTACCACCATAAGCCCCGACTTCCTCCCAGAGAACAATTACCACCATGAGCCCCGACTTCCTCCCAGAGAACAATTACCACCATGAGCCCCGGCTTCCTCCCAGAGAACAATTACCACCATGAGCCCCGGCTTCCTCCCAGAGAACAATTACCACCATGAGCCCCGGCTTTCCTCCCAGAGAACAATTACCACCATGAGCCCCGGCTTCCTCTTAGAGAACAATTACCACCATGAGCCCCGACTTCCTCCCAGAGAACAATTACCACCATGAGCCCCGACTTCCTCCCAGAGAACAATTACCACCATGAGCCCCGACTTCCTCCCAGAGAACAATCACCACCATGAGCCCCGACTTCCTCCCAGAGAACAATTACCACCATGAGCCCCGACTTCCTCCCAGAGAACAATTACCACCATGAGCACCAACTTCCTCCCAGAGAACAATTACCACCATGAGCCCCGACTTCCTCCCAGAGAACAATTACCACCATGAGCCCCGACTTCCTCCCAGAGAACAAATCTACAATGAGAGAAAAGATACACTTAACAAACCAAGACCGAATGTTGTCCCGACAATGTACAGAGGAGTAACACAGAACAATATGATATATATATGTAGCACTACCCTCGTAAGGGCCGCTGGGTTTGAATCGGGTCCCCCTATGTTCTGCACGGCCAGGCAACACACATTTTCACACTTTGCACACTGAAGTCAATGAAGCTTGAGCTTGGTTTTGTGGTTTTTATTAAGGGGTTAAACGTGGATGGGGGTATATGGGATGCCCAAGGAACTGTAGGCCGTGAGGACAACTCCTTAGCAGCTATGTACAGAGATTCAGTTATCAACAGTTTCTTCTTAAAGAGCACCAAAGGCTCTTAGGTGTACCTCTTTAGACCCCAGATGTTTCCTCCTCTTCACCCGGCTGCCTGAGGGTATTCCTGAGCAAGGGGGCCCAAGAGCTGTTAATTTAGGACAGTCCCAGATGAGAAGCTAGTTGGGTCTTGCATCTGACCATCCTCTCCCCTCATCTGGCTCGGGGGGGAGTACTCACACTGTCCTCTCCTGTTCGCTTGGTGGGTTGGTGGCTGCTTTCAGGCCTTCCACTGGGCTAGCTCCTTCCCTAATGCACAAGCTATCCTCTGTTGAGGCAGAGAGATCCTCCTTTGCAGCATGCAGTCTGTAGGTAGGCTCCCCTCCCTGGGGCCCCCTCCCAGGCTACACACTCCAGCCTTCCTCAATCCAACTTCCACCCAACACTGCACACCTCCCCCCAGGCTCTGTCTCATTTGAGGGCTGCCCTGGTCCCCATGCTCAGCCTCCTGCTAGGGGATTGGTCAAAGTCTCTCAAATATGCAGATCTGGGCCTCCTCTCCTGTTCCAGAAAGCTCTCAGCTCTCTAGAAGGGTGGGAGGGCTCCAGAAGCCCTGACCTGTAAGAGCCTCCTAGCCTGTCCTGAGGTAACCTGGAGAGGAATCTCCTGCTGGATCTCTATACTGACATGGACGGGTGATGGGTGAGGAATGTAAGGACGCCCCATCGTTTGATGAAAATGAAAGTGATCGACCTACAGAGGAGTGAATTCAAAGACCCCCCCGAAAATCCAAGTGAAGAAATGATGCAGCAGGCGAGTCCATTTTGCTGAAAGGTCATTGCAGCAACTCAGAATGGTCCTCAGTAGTCTGTGTGGCCTCCACGTGCTTGTATGCATGCCTGACAACGTCGGGGGAGGCTCCTAATGAGACCACGGATGGTGTCCTGGGGGATTTCCTCCCAGATCTGGACCAGGGCATCACTGAGCTCCTGGACAGTCTGAGGTGCAACCTGGTGGTGTCGGATGGACCGAAACATGACATCCCAGAGTGGTTCTATTGGATTTAGGTCAGGCGAGCGTGGGGGCCATTCAGTGGTATCAATTCCTTCATCCTCCAGGAAATGCCTGCATACTCTCCCCACATGAGGCTGGGCATTGTCATGCACCAGGAGAGCTTAGGGGATGAGCATGCAGGTTAGTGCTGGGGGGATGTTTGCTGATACATAATGCCCATACATCTTCGGGGGGGGGGAGCGCAATTTGGCATGTTCACCCTGGGCTCTAGATGACCTTGTCCCGGCACTGCCATACACCACTCAAGCAGTGACTGTCGAGATCACTCGGCTTGACGAAGCGGAATTGGAAAAATCAATGCAAGTCGTTGATCCGGATTCAGTCAGTGTTCCGGTATTCATACAGCTATGGGGTCCTGCTGAATAAATTGCCTGGCAGCGGAGATTCCTCCATCTGAGCTGTTTAGAGTGCATGAAGGAATCTGTTAGCTGAGTTGGCCCAAACAAACTGTTCAAATTGATATTAAAGCAGACCTTCTCCCAAAGGGGTATGTTCCACATGTTTGCACCCCCCCTCTCTTTAACATTTGGTACTTTTTTGGGCAGGAGGTGCAGGTACCTGGTTTTGACAGGTACCCTGCCTCCTCGCTTCCGGTTGGATCACCTGGGAAATCTGAGCGGAAGTTCAGCCCCCCTCCTTCCTCTGCAGACTTCTGGGACAGATCACAGGTCCAAGAAGACTGTGGGACCATTTGCAAAGCACAGCGTGACTTGCGCATGCGCAGTGGGAAACCAGCTGTGAAGCTGCAAGGCTTTACTGCCGGTTGCCCTTAGTTAAGATGCCAGGGCCTGGACCCCAAGCACATCGAAAAATCGGCTCTGGAGAAGACAGAGCTGGATCCCTGGACAAGTATAGTATCTATCCTTATATTAAAAGTCAGCAGTTACCGTATTTGTAGCTGCTGACTTTGAATTTTTGAGGGGGGAGACTGGAGATCCACTTTAAAGAGGAACTTCAGTCCCCTTGATTGTGGCATTGCCCCCCTCGACCTGCGCCACCATGCCTAATGGTTCAGCAGATGCATCTAAGAGCTCTGCCTGGCCTTCAGGACCTTGCAGGGATTGGCTAGGGTATACAGTAGTGTAGCATCCCCTGAGAGGTACGTCTTACACTAAGTGAAAGGGGTGCAGGTTCTGGGTAGCAATTGTAAGGGGTAGTCATTAGTCTTGGCTTTTCAGCCAGCTAAATGATGGGACCCAAGAACCATTGGCGCACTTGGAGACAGTTGGCAAGGCCTGCAGGCAGTAATTAGGTTATAAAGTAGCTGTTTGGGTATTTCCTAAGGGCTCAGTCTCTAGTAGTCAGGGGCGGACTGACCATTTGGAAACTTGGGCACTGCTCAAGGGCCCGGGGTCAGTAGGGGGCCCCATGAGATGCCCTTGGTACCTTTTTCATAGGCTTTTTTGAGTTTGGGCAAGGACACAAGGACCCCATGATCCCCTACTGCCCGGGGGCCCCATGAATTGTCAGTTCGCCCCTGCTAGTAGTGGCAACAAATAGCCCCCGCAAGAGTCCGTCGGTTCATCTGTGCATGTGTCATGCTGTGTTCACT